TTAGCCAGGCATGGTAGTTGGTGCCCATAATCCTAGCCACTCGGGAGGCTGGGGCAGGAGAATCGCTTGAACCTGGGAGGCAGATGTTGAAGTGAGCTGAGATCGTGCCACTGCACTCCAGCCTGGGTGACAGAGCAAGATTCCCTCTAAAAAAATAAAAACAAACAAACAAACAAAAATTGGAGAGAGTAGGTCCCTTGGAGAATGGACAGGAAGTGGGGCCCAGAATTGAGGAGGCTCTGAATGCACTGGAGTTGGATGGGACACTAGCGGATGTCAGTGGAGGAACCAGGCCCCTTCTGTTTGAAAAGAGGAGTGTCTGGCCAGGCGTGGTGGCTCAGGCCTGTAATCCCAGCACTTTGGGAGGCCAAGGCAGGCAGATCACGAGGTCAAGAGATCAAGACCATCCTGGCCAACATGGTGAAACCCCATCTCCACTAAAAGTACAAAAATTAGCTGGGTATGGTGGTGCGTGCCTGTAGTCCCAGCTACTTGGGAGCCTGAGGCAGGAGAATCACTTGAACCCGGGACATGAAGGTTGCAGTGAGCTGAGGTCGTGCCACTGCACTCCAGCCTGGCGACAGAGCAACATTCTGTCTCAAAAATAAATAAATAAATAAATAAAATTTAAAAAAGAAAGAAAAAGGCCGGGCACGGTGGCTCACACCTGTAATCCCAGCACTTTGGGAGGCCGAGGCGGGTGGATCACGAGGTCAAGAGATCGAGACCATCCTGGTCAACATGGTGACACCCCGTCTCTACTAAAACTACAAAAAATTAGCTGGGCATGGTGGCGCGTGCCTGTAATCCCAGCTACTCAGGAGGCTGAGGCAGGAGAATTGCCTGAACCTAGGAGGCGGAGGTTGCGGTGAGCTGAGATCGCACCATTGCACTCCAACCTGGGTAACAAGAGTGAAACTCTGTCTCAAAAAAAAAAAAAGGGGGAGTGTCTGGAAACATAAGGTGTACATTGAGGTGTCAGACAATGCAGTGGCTGGAGTTCCTCCCTCATGTCTGCATCCTCTTGACACCCCCAGCCCTGCCAGCAGCCTCAGTGACACAAGCACTATTCTCTCAGCCCCAGTCCTTGCCCCTGCCCCCGGAATTTCGGCCCTGCTGGTGTCAGCTCTCTCAGTGAACACCTATCCAGCATCCTGGGGCCCCACCCCCACCCCTCCTAAGCAGGAAGCATTCTGACACAGTGTGACTGTGGTGGGAGGAGGAATGGGATTGCTGTGAGAGGGGGCCTTTACTTTACCAAAGAAGAAACTGAGGGTCTGAGAGGCTCAGTAACCTGCCCAGCTTCCTGCAGCAAGCCAACAACGCCAGTTTCAGGCAGCTTACCTACAACACTCACTTGGTCGGTGACTATTTCACTACGGGATGTGGACACACTGTGTCCTAATGTCCTTTCTGGCTGGTTGTGTAGCCTCTCTGGTTCACCTTTCAGAGGCCCGATGTTCTCGTAGGTGAAAGGGGCTGAACAGTTCCTGCTTTCATTCCACCTGCAATCCCCTGCCTCTTCCACATCTGACCTGACCTTGTCTGAGAGAGGATACCCGGACCTCCTTCACTGCTTCTCCCAGTTCTTGTTGAGACTTCCAGCACCTAAATCTGGAGAGGGCAGCTTCCAATCTGGGGCTCCAGGTTTTAAGAACCTGTGGATGGGAGAGTCAGGTGCTTGCACACTGTGAAGGAGAGCTTGAGGCTCTGTAGCTCCATGGATGGAGGGGTCTTGTAGATTCCAAGGGCTGGGGACAGATAGACGGTGAGGGGAGGCATCCAAACACTACACAGAACCTATTGACATGAATCAGGGAGTTGCCAACTGGATGGGAGGCTCGAGGGTCTGGGGATGGGGAACTGCTTCCAGGCTGGGAGGCATTCAGGCTTGGGGAGTCATGAAGGAATGAAGGGATCCAAGGACATCCTTAGGCATGTATTTTTTTTTCAGATGGAGTCTTACTCTGTTGCTTAGGCTGGAGTGCAGTGGCATGATCTCAACTCACTGCAACTTGCACCTCCCAGCTTCAAGTGATTCTCCTGCGTCGGCCTCCCAAATAGCTGGGATTACAGGCACCCACCACCACACCCAGCTAATTTTTATCTCATGGTGAGACGAGGTTTCACCATGTCTCTACAAAAATGTAAAAAATTTCCAGGGCATGGTGGCACATATTTGTAGTCCTATCTACTCCGGAGGATCCCTTGAGCACAGGAGTTTGAGGTTACAGTGAGCTATGATTGTGCCACTGCAATCCAGCCTTCGTGACAAAATATGACCCTGTCACTTAAAAAAAAAAAAAATAGTGCTCAGGAGGTGTTGATAAAAAAAGAAAAAGAAAAAAAGAAATACGGAGCATAACCATTTCTGCCAAAAGTTTTCTCTTGACCTTTGTATTTTCTCTTTCCTGACCTTTTGGCCCCCTCCCCCCAGGCAACCACTTATCCACTTTCTGTCACTGTACATCAGTTTGCATTTTATTAGATTTTTATATAAATGAAATCATACAGCATGTGCTTTTTTGGAGAGTGGGTCTGGCTTCTTTTACCATAATTATTCTTGAGATCTATCCAAATCCTTCATTGTTTTTCACTGCTGAGTTGTATTCCCCTGTATGAATATACCACAGTTTGTTAATTCATTCACCTATTTGTTTCTTTCAAAATTGTTTTCTTTTTAAGAAATGAGGTCTTCTTTTTTCTTTTCTTTTTTTTCTTTTTCTTTAAAGATGGAGTCTCGCTATGTTGCCCAGGCTGGAGTACAGTGGCTATTCACAGGCTCGATCCCACTACTGATCAGCCCGGGAGTTTTGACCTGCTCCGTTTCCGATCTGGGCTGGTTCACCCCTCAGTAGGCAACCTGGTGGTCCCCCACTCCCAGGTCACCATATTGATGCAGAACTTAGTGTGGACACCGGATCGGCATAGTGCACTACAGCCCAGAACTCCTGGGCTCAAGTGATCCTCCCACCTCAGCCTTCCGAGTAGCTGGGACTACAGGCACATGCCACTGCACCTGGCAAGAAATGGGATCTCATTATATTGCCTAGGCTGGTCTTGAACTCCTGGGCTCAAGTAATCCTCCTGCCTCCACCTTCACCCTCCCAAAGGGCTAGGATTACAGGCATTAGCATTTTTAAAATGGAGAAAATGTTCCTATGCTTTCACAATAGAGACAATGTTTTACTATGTTGCCCAGGTTGGTCTCCAACTCCTGAGTTCAAGCGATCCTCCTACCTCGGCCTCCCAAAGTGCTGTGATTATAGGCATGAGCCACTGGGCCTGGCCTGGCCTCATTCAACTATTTTTTTTTTTTTTTTTTTGGGGAGGTGGAGTTTCACATTGTCGCCTGGGCTGGAGTGTGGGGTGGCTTGATCTTGGCTCACTACAACTTCCACCATGTTCAAGCAATTCTCCTGCCTCGGCCTCCCGAGTAGGTGGGATTACAGGCGCCCGCCATTACACCAGTCTAATTTTTTTTGTATTTTTAGTAGACACGGGGTTTCACTATGTTGGCCAGGCTGGTCTCAAATGCCTGATCTCGTGATCTGCCCTCCTCTGCCTCCCAAAGTGCTGGGATTACAGGCCTGAGCCACCATGCCTGGCCTTATTCAACTATTAATGGGCATTTGGGTTATTTCCAGTTTTTGGATATTAACAAATATTATGGACTGGATTGTGTCCACCCATAAATATATATGTTAAAGCCCTAACCTCCAATGTGACTGTATCTGAAGATAGCTTCGTTAGGAGGAAATTAAGGCAAAATGAGGCATTAAGGTGGAGGCCTAATCAGCTAGGACTGTAACCTTATAAGAAACAAAAGAGAGCAATCTCTGCCTCTGTGTGTCTCGCTCTCTCTCACCCCTTTACTCTCTTCATTCTCTTAATTCCATGTGAGGACACAGAAATTTGGTATCTGCAAGCCAAAAGGAGAGACCTCACCAGGAACCAAATTGGCTGCCACCTTGATCTTGGACTTTCCAGCTTCCAGAACTGTGAGAAACATGTTGTTTAAGCCACCTTGTCTACGATATTTTGTTACAGTAGTTCTAAATGAATAAAACAAGAAATGAAGGTGGCTATGAACATTTGTAACACAAGGCTGTGTAGATGTATGCTTTCTTTTAGATAAAGACTCATGAGTGGAATGGCTGGCTCATACGTACACCTACATTTAACTTTTTTTTTTTTTAGACAGAGTTTCGATCTTGTTGCCCAGGCTGGAGTGCAGTGATGAGATCTCGGCTCACTGCAACCTCTGCCTCCTGGGTTCAAGTGATTCTCCTGCCTCAGCCTCCTGAGTAGCTGGGATTACAGGCACATGCCACCACACTTGGCTAATTTTGTATTTTTAGTAGACACGGGTTTTCTCCATGTTGGTCAGGCTGGTCTCGAACTCCTGACCTCAGGTGATTCCCTGGCCTCGGCCTCCCAAAGCGCTGGGGTTATAGGCATGAGTCGCTGTGCCTGGCCATGTATGTTTAACTTTTTTTTTTTTTTTTTAAGACGGGGTTTTACCATGTTGATCAGGCTGGTCTTGAACTCCCGACCTCAGGTGATCTGCCCACCTTGGCCTCCAAAGTGCTTGGATTACAGGCGTGAGCCACCATGCCCGGCCACGTTAAACTTTTAAAGACACTACCAAACTGTTTTCTAAAGTTGCAACATCATTTTACATTTCCACTTGTGGTATAGGAGTTCCATTTCCTCCATATCTTCAGCAACAGTTGGTATGGTCTGACTTTTAAATTCTAACTAGGACCTTTAGTTAACAGAGCGCGGAGCCTGCATCAGCCTGAGGCCAAGCACTCCTGCTGGCTCCCACAGCCTGGCCTCCTTGCTGGCCGCCAGGTAGGTCACCGCGCGGGTCCAGGAGCTAGGCACGGGACCAGCCAGCCTCAGCCTCCAGGGCCTGGGCAGGCCGCCAGGTGAGAGCGCCGCAGCGCTCAAAACTCGTCGCTGGCTGCCCTGCGTCTACTCGGCGACTACTGGCCATGGAGCCGCGCACAGGGGGCGCCGCGGACCCTAGGGGGAGCAGAGGAGGTACAGGGATTGGGGGTGCTGGGGAAGGACAGGGCGAGTCACAGCCACCCTCGTCCCGCCTATCTGCTCCACATTTTTTTCTTCTGACAGGTGGTAAACAGAGCTGCTCTGGAGCCCAAGTGGCTGTGGCAGGGGGCAGGGGCCCAGCGATGGAGGCTGGACTTGACGTCCCCTATACACCCCCACACCCGAGCGAAAGGGCCGCGTACCAGAGCAAGGGAGGGGCTCTCAGGAGTCTCCAGGGAGATGTGCAGACGTGCGGGGAGGGGTCTGTCCGTGGTCACTGGGGACACCTGAGCTCTCAGGGTCTGTAGTGAAATGAGGGTAGGGGAGCTGGGGGTCCCTGGGGACCTGTGGAGGGGGAATCTGGAGGTACATGGGTCATGGGGGAAGGGGCCTTCGGAGGAAATTCATGGGGATAGCAGAGGTTGCCTAGGATACCTAGAGTGGGAATTGGGGGACCCAAGGCTACGGGGTCAGGTCATGTTCTCCCAGAATATCTGGGGGAAACGGGGTCCCCGAAGATACCGTGGGCGAAGAGTTGGGCGTCCAGGGTGATTAGGGGGCAGTCGAGGACCTCACAGGGTGTTAAGAGGTGTCCAATACTATTACAGTCAAACAGCAATCTCCAGGGACACCGTGAGGGCAGGCGGGGTGCACCGGCTACCCGCGTTGGTTGGGGATCGGGTGAGGGGAGGGACAGCGGCGACCTCCGGAACTATTGAGAGAGTGGCCAGGGATCCCCGGGTATCCTGAGGGCGTGGGGGTGGGCCGAGGCCGAAGGTTGACGCTAACCTGTCCCCTTCTCCCGTGCAGGCCGCGGAACCTCTCAGCCGGCGGGCGCCAGCGCCCGACGGCTCCTGGCGCGGCTGGACGCGCGCCCCCTGGCGGCGCGAGCTGCGGGCGACGTGGCGGCGTTGGTACGCAGGGCAGGTGCCACATTGCGCCTGCGCCCCAAGGAGGGTGCGTGTTCGGAGAGGAGCTGGGTTCAGAGGGGCAGGCCCCGGGGATCTGCAGCTACTGCCCTGTCTTGGGTGGAGCCAAGGGGTGCGATTGGTGGGGCGGGGCTCGGAGGGTGCTTCGAGTGGGTGGAGCCTTGGGCTTATCCTAGAATATTCCTTGAGGGTTATCGCAGTAGGCGAGGGCCAGATTAGTTGAGAGTGCGGGGCTGTCTTCTGAAGTCTAGAAGGAGTAAAAAAAGAGAAAGAAAATAAAAAAAGAAAAAAAAAGTGAGAGTGCGGGGCTGGATCCCTGTTCTGGCCGATGGGGCTTGGAGGGTCCTTTCCGAGGAGGTGGGGCCTGGAGCGTGCTGGGGGCGGGCATGCAGCGAAGGGGCAGGCCTGAAATGTGAGTCACGGGGGTAGAGCCTATAGGCCCATAGGGGCGGGGCTTGAGATGTCAGGAATGGGATGAGAGTTAGAGGCTAATTAGAGGGCGTGCTCTGGAAGGTTTGGGAACCAAATTTTGGAGTAGTACCCTTCAGGGTGGGCCGAATGGTGTTATTTGAGGAATGTGTTCTGCGTGTTGTTAGAGGGAGATAGGAAGGCCTGGAAGATTATTCACATGGGTGAGCCCAGGATTGTTTGTTAAGAAGGTGGGGTCCGAATAGTTATTTGTTTGGGCTGAGAGCCTTTAAAAGATTACTTGAGGGGATGGTGCCTAGTGAAATGGTGGGCCAGTTTGTAAATGAGCTGCAGGGGCTAGGCAAATAGATAAGGTTGGAATGTTAACTCAGGGAGCAGGTCCTAGGTAGTTTCCATGGCATGTCCCCCCACAGCCCTTTCCACCACTTTTCTTCCCCAGTTGTTAGCGTGTTGGACTCTGCAGACATAGAGGTCACAGACAGTCGCCTGCCTCATGCCACTATTGTGGATCACCGGCCCCAGGTACCAACTCATCCTTCTATTAGAGGCCACATGCCTCGGGGCAATCTATGTACACCCGTGTCCTTTATTCCAGCACCGTCGGTTAGAGACATGTAACAAGCCTCCGCAAGTGATCCAGGGTAAGGCACGTAGTGCTCCAAAGCCCTCCCAGGCCTCTGGTCATTTCTCTGTGGAGCTGGTCCGCGGTCACGCAGGCTTTGGCCTCACCTTAGGTGGGGGCCGGGATGTGGTTGGGGATGCTCCGCTGTCCGTCCGGGGGCTGCTGAAGGATGGCCCGGCACAGCGCTGTGGTCGTTTGGAGGTGAGCCCTGAAGCCCCTTCCACTGGTAGGTGCTATCCCTCCCTTTGTTGGGATGCTCTCATTTTGCCTTTCCAACACTACTGCCTTGCACTCTTGCAGGTCGGGGACCTAGTGCTCCACATCAACGGAGAGTCAACGCAGGGCCTCACCCATGCCCAGGCTGTGGAGCGGATCCGAGCTGGAGGCCCTCAGCTCCACCTGGTGCTTCATCGGCCTCTAGAGACCCACCCTGGCAAGACTCGAGGGGTGGGAGAGCCCCAAAAAGGAGTTGGTGGGTTTCCCAAGGGAGAGAAGTCAGAGATCAGTGAGGAGAAGGAGAGGTTCACAGAGCGGAGAGGCTGAGATTCTGGGTAGGAAGGGTTTGGTGGTCTCTGTGGGGAGAGTCTGCAAGAGGTCATGGTATTCTCACAAGTAGGAGCAGGGAGGGGTACAGGGTCCCAGGATAGGAATAAAGCAGGGGCAGGGAGGGGTGTCAGTCCCAAGGATAGGGATTTCAGAGGATGGGCTTTCCAGGTACTGCGGGGAGAGAAGGGAAGGGGTCTGGGATAAAAGCAAGTGTTTGGAAGGAAGGGTCTTAGTTCTCAGAGGGGAAGGCAGAAATGGGAGGAAATGGAAAGGAGATCCAGAGGGTATCGGGTCTAGTGCTGAAAAACAGAGTCGGTGATTTGGGAGTCAAGGGAGGTGGGATGAGAGGAGAGAGTAGGGGATCCTAGATGAGAGGTGCTTGATTTCCTTTGGAGACTGTGGGAAATGATTTCTGAGGGCCATGTTCTGGATCCAGGAGGGGAGGGGTCTTGGGAAAGGAGGTGCTGGGGTTGTGAGGGGCTGTGCTGGCCCCAGAAGGCCTCGAGAGGAGATTTTTCTAAGGGCCAAGTTCTTAGTCTCCCGCAGCCTTTGGGTTATTCTGTCCACCCCCGGCCAAAAGCCCTGATTTCCCTTCCCTACTTCACCACCCAATCTAACCCGTAGCCCCGCCATTGCCAGATCGCAGCGCAGATCCTGGAGGGCCGGAGGTGATGGGGTCTCGCAGCAGCAGTACTTCCCCAGTTCAGCACCCTCCATCCCGGACGACACTCAAGAAGACCCGGGGCAGCCCGGAGCCTAGTCCAGAGTCAGCCGCCGGTGGCCCCAAGGTTTCTCCTCCTGAGCGCCTCACTGAGGATCCCAATGATCAGATCCCTGGTTCCCCGGGTCCCTGGCTAGTGCCCAGCGAGGAACGGCTCTCGCGGGCCCTAGGGGTCCGGGGGGCAGCGCAGCTCGCTCAGGAGATGGCAGCCGGAAGGCGGAGGCACTGAACCTACCTCTGACAGCTCGGGGCTCACTAATTACCGCCCAACCTGGATCCGGCGCTTCTGGCAGCCCCGCTCTTGGCACCTCCCCAGATCTTCCACTTGGTCTGGTCCCCCCTCCCGCTGCGCAGTGGCTCTGCCCGCACTCCCCTCGCAGCGTCAGTGGTACAACCCTTCCAGCCCGGCCAGCCTGAACTTCTGGTTCTGGGGCTGGCGGGGGTGTGTGTGTGTAATAAAATGGTTCGATCCGGTCTTGGCTTGCCAGGTGCTCGAGGCGGGGTAGGGCTGCTCAGAGCACTCTGTAAAGGAGCGAGTGGGTCGATCCTGTTTAGAGTAATCGCTGACGTGCTTCGTGCAGCTGGTTTCCTGCTTGCACACAGTTCTTTGCTTCTGCCTGCCTGTTCTCAGCCCGGTGTGCTTTCTCCCCATTCTTTTTCTCTTTACCGTCCCCTGCTCCTCTCCTTATTCATTCATTTCACCTTTTTGGAGGTGTGCAGGGGCTCACACATAAATTATTGTGCATGGCATGGTGGGCCTGTCGTGGCGGGACTACACCAGTGTACCCACAGTCCTGGCTCGGAATCATCCAGACCCTCAGCTGACGTCGGGATAGCAGCAGGGTGAAGCAGGGCGGCTTCCTTCGCCAGGGGCCTGTGGTCTCCCACTTCCGGCCTAGTCGGCCAGCTTTTGCTGGCACCTAGGCTACCACTCTCCGGGCACCAGCTGGGGACCTGGAGCCCCCTTTGGGGCGGAGCAGGGAAGGTGTGAGTCAGCGCCCCCGGGCGGGCCGGGCTAAAAAAGGCTGTTAGAACCTTTGGGCCGTGCCCCTATTTTCCGTACATGGTGAAGAACTGCAGCCGGGCTTGTGTGCACACGCCACACACTGGGCGTTCCTGGCCCTGGGAGAGGCCCAGAGTTTCCTTCACCCTGGGAACAGAGCCCCACAGCCAGGGCTTATATGGCCAGCGGGACTCCAACCGGTGTAGCCGCGAGGAAGGCGCTGGCAGAGGACAGAAATGTCCAGTCACCTCCGCTGTCACCACATCCTGAGCACTCGGCCCCATCCCCCCCAGGAGGGAAGCTGTGGTCTGACGGAATGGGCAACTTTTGCTCCTGTGGGGAGAAGACGCGGAAGGAAGAAAGAAATTAAAGGACCTGGTGGGGCGCGGTGGCTCACCCCCATAATCCCAGCACTTTGGGAGGCCGAGGCTGGCGGATCACCTGAGGTCGACCAACATGGAGAAACCCCGTCTCTACTAAAAATACAAAAATTAGCCAGGGGTGGTGACATGCGCCTGTAGTCCCAGCTACTCGGGAGGCTGAGGCAGAATAGCTTGAACCTGGGAAGCAGAGGTTGTTGTGAGCCAAGATTAGCACCATTGCACTTCAGCCTGGGTAATAAGACTGAAACTCTGTGTCAAATAAATAAATAAAAATAAAAGAAAAGAGAAAGGAAAAAAGAAAATAAAGAAATTAAAGGACCCAAATTCGAGAGTCCAGGTGGCCTTGTAGGGGAAAGAGGAACAGTGAAGACAAGTTGCGAGAGCTGGGAGCTGGAGGGTGAAGAGGTGAACACTGAGTGGTTAGAGCTGCAGATAGACATTGTGGGAGAGTGTGCCAGGGTGGCTTCCAGCTACCCCTGACTCAGAGCCTGGTAGAGGTGTGGTTCTTCAGAAGTCAGCAAAGGGCTCAAGAGCCCCAGTCCTATAAATACAGTCCCACCCAGGGGACTAATAATAGTAACCCCAGCCAGCATGTACTTAGTTTTATCTTTGCTACTGGCTTTATTGCAATATTTATTTTCATCTACAGTAGTTGCACATCCACTCAATGATCCAAATATGTCCGTTTCACAGAGGAGGAAAGTGAGGCCCAGGGAGCGCAGATAGCTTGAAAGAAGACGGTCAAAGCAAGATTTAATCAAGGCCTGATTTCCAAGACTGTCCTCTTAATTTCACCTGCATTGACAAGTATTCATTGAACCCCAACTGTATACATTGCACTGTGCTAGGTACTGTGGAGATGCTGGAGGAACAAGACATAAAATTTCTATCTTTGTGTAGCTGAGGGTAAACAGATGTCAGACAAAAAAGACAAGAAAATGAATAAACAAGAAACCAGGCTGGGCGCAGTGGCTCACACTTGTAATCCCAGCACCTTGGGAGGCCGAGGCTGGCAGATCACCTGAGGTTGAGAGTTTGAGACCAGCCTGACCAACATGGAGAAACCCCATCTCTACTAAAAATACAAAAATTAGCTGGGCATGGTGGCAGGTGCCTGTAATCCCAGCTACTTGGGAGGCTGAGGCAAGGAGAATTGCTTGAACCTGGGAGGTGGATGTTGCAGCAATGAGCCAAGATCGTGCCACTGCACTCCAGCCTGAGTGACAGAGCAAAACTTCGTCTCAAACAACAACAACAAACAACAACAACAACAACGACAACAACAACAAAACCCATTTCAGGACAGACATGGTAGATCGTGCCTGTAGTCCCAGCACTTTGGGAGGCTGAAGCGGGTGGGTTACTTGAGCCTATGAGTTTGAGACCAGCCTGGGCAACATAGAGAATCCTCCTCTCTACAAAAAATTGAAAAAAATAGCTGGGTATGGTGGCTCATGTCTGTAGTCCCAACTACTTGGGATGCTGAGGTGGGAGGATCACTTGAACCCAGGAGGTCAGGGCTGCAGGGAGCCATGATTTTGCCACCGCACTCTAGCTGGGATGACAGTGAGACCTTATTTAAAAAAAAAAAAAGCCGGGCGCGGTGGCTCACGCCTGTAATCCCAGCACTTTGGGAGGCCGAGGCGGGTGGATCACGAGGTCAAGAGATCGAGACCATCCTGGTCAACACGGTGAAACCCCGTCTCTACTAAAAATACAAAAAATTAGCTGGGCATGGTGGCGCGTGCCTGTAGTCCCGGTTACTCGGGAGGCTGAGGCAGGAGAATTGCCTGAACCCAGGAGGCGGAGGTTGCGGTGAGCCGAGATCACGCCATTGCACTCCAGCCTGGGTAACAAGAGCAAAACTCCGTCTCAAAAAAAAAAATAAAAATAAATAAATAAATAAATAAAAAGTCCAGGTGCGGTGGCTCACACCTGTAATCCCAGCACTTTGGGAGGCCAAGGCAGGTAGATCACCCGAGGTTGGGAGTTCCAGACCAGTCTGACCAACATGGAGAAACCCCATCTAAGTAAAAGAAATTAGCTGGGTGTGGTGGCACATGCCTGTAATCCCTGACACTCAGGAGGCTGAGGCAGGAGAATTGCTTGAAGCCAGGAGGTGGAGGTCGTGCCATTGCACACCAGCCTGGGCAACAAGAGCAAAACTCCGTATCCAAAAAAAAAAAAAAAAAAAGACAATTTCAGAGAGATGTGAGAGCTATGAAGCTATGAAGGAGGTTATATAGTGGCAGATGATGGTGGGCTTCTGGCTTCTTTGAAGACATAACACTTGAGCTGGGACCTGAATGACAAGAAGCCAGGTATATGAAGCACCAAGTGAAGGACATTGACAACAGGGGGAATAGCAAGTGCAAAGGTGCTGAGGCAGAACCAGGTTTGTCTTGTTTCAGAAACTCAGATGTGTCCTCACAGAGTTGGCAGCACATACTCATCACTGGGAAGAGTATGTTTCATCCTTTCCACTATTCACTCACACCCTCAGCAACCTGGACTGAAGGAGGGTGCTCTTTCCTTAGTTTTGAGGGGCCCTGTGTGGGCAGAGCGAGCAGGCAGGCCCTTGGGTTGAATCCTCCCTCGCCACCCAATTATGATTCTCCCTCACTTCAAATGAGATAAGAATAAAAACAAGGCCGGGTGCGGTGGCTCAAGCCTGTAATCCCAGCACTGTGGGAGGCCGAGGCGGGTGGATCACGAGGTCAAGAGATCGAGACCATCCTGGTCAACATGGTGAAACCCCGTCTCTACTAAAAATACAAAAAATTAGCTGGGCATGGTGGCGCGTGCCTGTAATCCTAGCGACTCAGGAGGCTGGGGCAGGAGAATTGCCTGAACCCGGGAGGCAGAGGTTGCGGTGAGCCGAGATTGCGCCATTGCACTCCAGCCTGGGTAACAAGAGGGAAACTCCGTCTCAAAAAAAAAAAAAAAAAAAAGAATAAAAACAACATCTAGTCTGGAGAGTGTGTCCCTCGAGGTACCTCTGGGATTCTGATTCCAGGAGAACAGATGCATGTCTTAGATGAAGAAATTAATGCTGAGCTGGGGGAAATAACTTGCTCAAAATAACACACTCAGCCAGGCGTGGTGGCTCGTGCCTGTAATTTCAGCACCTTGGGAGGCCAAGGCAGAAGGATTGCTTGAGGTCAGGAGTTCAAGACCAGCCTGACAAACATAGCAAGACTGCGTCTCTACTAAAAAATAAATAAAGTGTCTGCAAATGTCACCCAGCCTTGCACCCCAGGAGCTGTCCATTAATCTTTCCAATACCCCAGAAATAAACTTTCCTATTCCTCATATACGATTGTGCTGACTGGCCCCTCTCTTCAGAACCAGGAAACTGAGGCCCAACATTTAGGGCCAGGACTTCCTGGACTTCCTTGGGATTGCACAGCACAGAATCAGACCCTGGTCTCTAACACTATTACACAAAAAAGTTTTTTTTTTTTTTTTTTGAGACGGAGTTTCACTCATGTTACCCAGGCTGGAGTGCAATGGCGCGATCTCGGCTCACCGCAATCTCCGCCTCCCGGGTTCAGGCAATTCTCCTGCCTCAGCCTCCTGAGTAGCTGGGATTACAGGCACACGCCACCATGCCCAGCTAATGTTTTGTATTTTTAGTAGAGACAGGGTTTCACCATATTGACCAGGATGGTCTCGATCTCTTGACCTCGTGATCCACCCGCCTCGGCCTCCCAAAGTGCTGGGATTACAGGCTTGAGCCACCGCGCCCGGCCTTAAAAATTGTTTTTTTAAATAGAGACAAGCTCTCACTACATTGCCCAGGCTGGTCTCGAACTCGAGCTGAAGTGATTCTCCCACCTTGGCCTCCCAAAGTGTTAGGATTACAGGTGTGAGCCACTGCTCCTGGCCTTGGGCTCTAACATTAGAAACAAGGCTTGCCCTTATTTCTTATCAGCTCAATGCTTACCAAACCCTGTTCTCACACAGCCTTTACACAGGCAGGGTCTTATTCCCATCACTGCTCAGAGGTTTACTCCGCTGTCCACAATCCATTATCCAAAATTCTGGAGAACAAAAAGCTCTGTAAACTGGTGGTTTTCTGACAAGTTA